ATCCTAGAATGTAGATTCAACTGTAAACATGTTCAGATAACTCCATATATACTAGAGCACTAATGTTATCCTAGAATGTAGATTCAACTGTAAACATGTTCAGATAACTCCATATATACTAGAGCACTAATGTTATCCTAGTAATGTAGATTCAACTGTAAACATGTTCTGATAACTCCATATATACTAGAGCACTGATGTTATCCTAGTAATGTAGATTCAACTGGAACCTTACCCTTGTAAACAAAGCTTGCAGATGTCCAGACGCATTTACTAAGTTAACACATATTCTCAGGTATTTAAACTGAACGTTGCCCACAGATGAGTCCACTTTACTGGGCTAACACTACTACTCTACCACACATAGAGTTAACTGAACATGTTTACAGTTGAATCTACATTGCTAGGTTAACATTAGTACTCTACCACACATAGAGTTAACTGAACATGTTTACAGTTGAATCTACATTACTAGGATAACATTAGTGCTCTGGTATATATGGAGTTATCTGAACATGTTTACAGTTGAATCTACATTACTAGGATAACATTAGTGCTCTAGTATATAAGGAGTTATCTGAACATGTTTACAAAATATGTAGTGCGCAAAATGTGTGGCGCGCAACTATGACGATGGAAGCATATAAATTATATCTGAAAGTAAAAACTTAAAAATAAAAATGTTAAAAAAATACTGTACAAATATGAGTGCTATTGAATAATATAGTGACAACAATTAACATGGGAAAATGACGTGCATATTATTTACACAAATAAGTTATTTGTAGTGCAGGGGTGGTGCAGTAAAAGGCATGTTTAGAAAGGAGGGTGCCATAAAAAAAGGTTTGCCACCACAGTCTAGATTATTGAAGTTTTGTTTTTTCAAAGTGACCACAGTATCCCCTCTGAAATGTTAAAGAGTTCTTTTTAAAGAAAGTACTTTGACATAACTTATAATGTATTATTGTTATCTTTCTTCTACAGTGGAGTTATGTGTATTTTTCGTTTTGGTGTTGCCATAGTGATATTGATGTTCTTGGTTATATATTTAAAGTAACTTTTTTTTTTTAAAGAAATTGTTGCCTTGCTTCTGTTAGCTTTATAATAGTGTTTGTTGTAATTCAATTGGAGCATATCGATGAAAGATTTTGCCTACAAAAAATGATTAATGTTATCTCTGTATACCTTTTTTGTTCAGCTGTTGCCATGGAAATACTGGTGATTTCAGTTGACGATTGATTTAATTTTTTTTAATATAATTTCCAGAATTTATCACCATGTTAAAATTATGACATATTTTACTGAGTTTTCTTGATAATTCCCGTTTCAGATCAGTTGTGGAGGCCACAGAGGTCCAGTTGAACATGAGGGTCGGCATTCACACTGGGAGGGTTCTCTGTGGGGTTCTGGGTTTACGCAAGTGGCAGTATGATGTGTGGAGTAATGATGTCACATTAGCTAATAACGTGGAGGCGAGTGGAGAGTCAGGGTGAGGACGTGAACCTTGTTGTACTAGTTAATGGCCAGTAATCTCTAGCATTTTTTTGTATGACAGTCATTTCCTATTTTTTCAAGTTTTCACTCAAAATATTTGTATCTCTAATTGTTTGGCAAAGACGACCGAAATTGTCAAGAAATTCACAAAATGTAAAACCTCGTCAGATAACCTGATGTCGAAGCATTGATCAATCAGTATTTTGTTTGTCCATTGATTAAATATTCCAAAAACAGATCAGGTATAACATTGTTAGGTATCGATTTATATTTTATTTATTCTTTATCGATTATATAATTTTTCCTTCGATTTTTTAGTTCAGCCATACTTGATTTTTTTTTTAAATCGCTAGCTTCATTGCCGCCCTCTAGTGGCACAGCGGTATGTTTTCGGACTTACAATGCTAGAAACTGGGTTTTCATACCCATGGTGAGCAGAACACATATAGCCCATTATGTAGCTTTGTGCTTAATTGCAAACATACAAACAAACAAGCTTAATCGCCGCCTACTGTACATTAAATGAGTATTTTTTTAACAAAACAAACAAATATTTCTCAAGTTAAGTATTTATACTGTTACGACAGCGGGGTCACGTGACTCTAGTAACACGTCATATTCTCGAAGGTTCGTGAATGCTCGAGCGTTTACTAGATTTCGGTATTCTTGTACATATAAGACGGCCAAGACGTGACGGCAACAATGTGTAATTGAACTGCGGACAGAGAGAGACGTATTGTTGAGTCGAGCACGTGAGACGTTCGTTGTGATTTATAGCGTTTGTTTTAGCGCGACTGTGGAAATTAAGTGTATTGCAAA